CATGGCTGCATACAAGGAAAGACTTTGCAAATGCCTTGTTCCCTGAGGCAGGCTTTTTAAGTTCCTCAGGGATAGCCTGACCTGGGAGCAGCCTGATTTTCTGGACCACAACTGTTTAGTTGCAGTCCTTCAGTTAATCTGTCCCCAAGTCTGATACCTTCGGTTTAGTTGCTCCCAACAACAAAGTCCAACCATCCTGGCTTCTAAGGAGCACTCTGGCTATACTTCTTCTAATACAGATATGTTTTTTCTTTTGGTTGTTGTTGTTAAGTGCCATCGAGTCAGTTCTGACTCATAGTAACCCTGTATAGGGTTTCCAAGGAGCAGCTGATGAGCTTCAACCTCTGACCTTGTGATTCAAACAAACTTTGAAGCCCAGTGCATTAACTCACAGCGCCACACCAGGACTCCTTTTGGTAGTCCATGGTATTTTCTATATTCTCCTCTGACACTATAACTCAAATGAGTCGTCAATTCTTCTACAGTCTTCCTTATTCAGTGTCCAGTTCTCACATGCATATGAGGTTATTGAAAATACCAGGGGTTGGGTCAGGCACACCTTAGTCCTTAAAAATGACATTTTTGCTCTTCAACACTTTAAAAAGGTCTTGTGCAGCAGATTTCCCTAATGCAATATGTAGTTTCATTTCTTGAGTGCTGCTTCCATGGTTGTTGATGGTTGATATGAGCAAAATGAAGTCTTGGACAACTTCAATCTTTTCTCCATTTATATGGATGTTGTTTATTGGTCCAGTGGTGAGGATTATTGTTTTCTTTATGTTGGGATACAACCCATACCAAAAGTTGTGGTCTTTGATCTTCATCAGTAAGTAGTTTAAGTTCTCTTTGCTTTCAGTAAATCAGGTTGTATTATCTGCATATTGCAGGTTGTTAATGAATCTTCCCCCAATCCTGATGCTACGTTTATCTTCATATAATCCAGCTTCTCAGATTATTTGTTCAACATACAGATTGAATAAGTATGGTGAAAGAAGACAATGCTGGTGCACACCTTTTCTAATTTTAAACCATTCCGTGTTCCCTTGTTCTATTCGAAAAACTTCCTCTTGATCTATGTACAGGTTCCTCATGAGCACATTTAAGTGTTATGGAATACTCGTT